CCTTTTTCGGAGCATTTTTGGTGCTTTTTTGTCTCTTTTTTATTTCTTTTAAATTAATTTTTATAAGTTTCTTTTTTATTTCTTTTTATTTCTTTAATTTCTTTTGATTTCTTTTAATTTCTTTTAATTTCTTTTCATTTAATCTTGTCTCTTTTTGCAGTTAAGAGCTCGTAAACACCCAAACTTACGTTTGTTTCTCGAAAATATGTCTTTTTCCGTCAAATTGTCTGCATTTTCCTGCAAACTTTCTGCATTTCAATCAAATAATAAAACTAAATTCAAGTTGACCTTTAAAATGGCTTTTTATTTCCACTTTGTTCTTCAAAATTGTCTCCTTTTGCAGCTGAGGGCCCGCAAACACCTAAAAGTTAACCTCTTTTTCTCCAAGTTGTCTGTTTTTCCGTCAAATTGTCTCCTTTGTTCTCCAAACTTTCTGCATTTCAACGAAAGAATAGAACTAAATTCAAATGGATCTTTAAAATGGCTTTTTACTTGCATTTTGTTGTCCAAAGTTGTCTCCGTTTGCAGGGCCCGCAAACACGTAAAAACTGCCTTTTTTCCCGAAAACATGTCTTTTTGCGTCAAATTGTCCGCTTTTTTCTCCAAACTTTCTGCATTTCAACGAAAGAATAGAACTGAATCCAAACCCACCTCCGAAATGGCGTGAATTCCACTTTGTTGTCCAAAGTTGCCTCCGTTTGCAGCTGAGGGCCCGCAAACACCGGTGGCAGCCGCGGCCGTTGAAGTCCAACGAAGCCCTGACCTTCAGCTTCGGCTGGCGGCGTTTTCAGTCTCTGCCGATTTTCGCGAGAGAGACTCGCGGCGAGAACCGGTGAGTCCAGAGGAGACCAGTGGTCTCCGAAAGAGACCATTGGGGGCCCAAGGGGGACCACTGGACCTCCACGGCGGCCCTTTCGGCCCCGGACAGCCCCCCAGTTCGAACCAGCGAAAAATTCCACCCGGAGCGGCCAAAAATCCGACTCATGCCTCTAGCTAGCTAGCTAGCTAGCTGGCTAGCTGGCTAGCTAGCTAGCTAGCTAGCTGCCTAGCTGGCTAGCTGGATAGCTAGCTGGCCAGCTAGCTGGCTAGCTGGGTATGGCTAGCTAGCCAGCTAGCTAGCTATACCCAGCTAGCCAGCG